ACAGTTTCAAAAACTTTCGATCAGTTATGTTAAAGAAGGCGATACTAACGAGGAAGCAGAAAACGCTACAGAAAACAGCAAAGATCTTGATATCACTTCTCAAGCCTTCTTTTACCTAGTAATATTTTTTACTAGTATTGTTCAACAATGTTATTTCATCCTCGCTCTCGCTAAGAAGACGAATGATACTGAATCATTTCAGAGTGCGCTACACATGCGCCACTGCTGCCCAGCATCCGACCCCCCAGTATGTCTTCTAGCGCAATCACACAGTCATCGATGTGTCGAAAGCGTCGAGCAAACCGTATTCCGGAAAGAGCAACTTGTCCGAAACTCCAGACTAGTGCATTTACTTGTCGCCTATTAGACGACTTAGCGCTTAGCACTACCTGGTTGAGAAGCATGAGCCCCGAAGGGCAACAATCTGTAAGCTGTCTATTACGGAACCCTCCGCTTACAGTTCACTGATTTGGATGACTTATTCAACTCAACTGGCGTAACGGTGCCTGTCATGATACGTCAACGACGATGTGGTCCTGACAACCGCCTTCCGCATCGGAGTGCCGACCAATGCCACCAGTGCCACATAATTATCTAACGTCTGTCAACGTACACATTATGTAAGTAGTATCTCGAGAATGCTAATAAGCTAAGGGCAAAACACCTGAAACCGGGCAGGATTCCACCTTTCATGCTCGCTGACTGACAGCGCTATCCATTAAACCATTTAGGCAGCGTACTACCCTCTCACCTTGATGCTTTCATGCCAACATTCTACGGTTCGCTGCCGTTATCGCCCGACCAGCTCCTAAAGCAAAAGTCCTGACGAAGGTAAGTTTTTTGCTTATAGCTCACCATTTTTGTAGTAACCTCCGGAATGCAGAACGCTGCGGTTAACCGCAGTGATCAATCTCAGTAGTAAAGGCAACGCCTCCACACAAATCGAATGAATGAACGAGAACCGAAAAAGAGGTGCAGAAGAGGGAATGGTTCGTGATTGTGCTTTTTCTAGCGATGAAGGAATACTCAAATGGGAGAAAGGCTAATGTGCACGGTTGTCAAAAACCACTTGGTGAGGTGAACGACCAGTCCCCTTGATATAGCCCAAGCATAAGCGAGGTTGGTGCTGCACAGGACACTCATAGTTTTTGCAGTGGTCAACCCCGATGTAATACCCAGCGCACTCAGCATACGTTCAGATGTGCTTTCCACAAGTATTGATCTTATAGAAAGACGGAGCTGAGCCGGAATTCTTATTGTTTCGGTCAAGCCTGAGCGCTTGTAAAGCTGGAGTGCTGCATTATGGAGCAGCGGCTTAGTTCTTCCCGGGAGTGACTGCTGGGCTGCTTTGGATTCCTATGTAGTTGTTCAACAAAGGGCACAAGAACAAAAAACAGTGCTCATGCACTTAAGAGAGTTAATAGCTTCAAATACAAGACGATAAAGGGGCAGAACTTAACGTAGGGGAGCCACGATAAGGACCTGCGACAGTCGATAGTGACACAGGAATCACCTTGGTGGAGCCATCAATCTGGCTAGAAACAGTGAGACTAAAAGGGAGCAAAAAATATGGCGCTCCAGTATCAAATTACAGTATGGACTTCTAATAGCAATGTGCTTAGCAAAACAGGGTGGCTAGTCCATTCACTAACAGTGTTGCTATTTCGAGTTCTTGAAAACAGAGCTATATGTACAACGGAGCGCCATGTGAGGCGGTTTCACGTCCAGAGCTGTTGCGCGGCGGCAGTTGCGCCTCTATGGAAAATTTCCGACACAAACCTTAAAATCGAGTGCATGTGTGCCCCGTTTCCTCTTCTCTCATTGAATGTTCCTTTGGTGCCATAGCGTCCTTTCCGTCCGTATTATGGTACAGCTGGACGATATCATATCACGAACACAGGCGTCAACAGTTCCTCGCAGGTATTCATGGTGAGCGAGAGTA